ATATCCGGTGACTTTCTTCTCACATACCTTGCCCCCTAGTGAGTACTGCCACTCAGCGATCGAAAAAGAAGCGTGAGCAATCGTAGAAGCTAAGAAAATGGAAACATCTACTCGGGAACCACTTTACTCTTATAACAGACCAGCCTTCAGGCGTCTTTATGTACAACAGGTAGCACAAAGGTAAAGTGAAAAACGATAAAATTCAACGATGAAAATTAAAGCTATCATTCTTCCACGACATCCAGTATCGGCCTGAGGAGCAAAATCAAACTGCCGACACATTCTCCCGAAGCCGATGTATTTCAGCCATGTCACATACGGACTTCAAACAGTCACACAACAGTCACCTCGGTATCGCACGCTTGTTTTACTTCATTCGTTCTAAGAACTTACCTTTCTCCATAGACGATGTTAAAAAAAAGTTGTAAATGAATGTGAAGCATGTGCACGACTTTCTTTCTTTCGCAAACTTAATAAAAGCGACCAGACCGTTCGAAAGAATCAGCATTGATTCCCCCATCTCCCGCAACAAATACCTTTTGACCACGATAGACGAACACTCGTTTTCTTTTTGCTTTTGCTTGTGCTGATATATCATCCTCAACCGTTATTAACAGTTTCAGTCAATCACTTTCCTTATTTGGAGTGCCGTCTTATGTTCATTTTGATCGTGACACCGCCTTTATGTCGGGTGAACTGCAAAGTTTTCTCCACAATAAGGGAGTGACAACCAGTCGGACAACTCCATACAACCCACGAGGTGACGGACAAATTGAAAGATTAAATGGAACGTTGTGGAGACCCATTACTCTGGGAACATATTCTATTGGACGCTTTACTTTCAGTCCGTTTATTGTTGTGCACTGCCACCAATGAAACGCCTCACGAGAGATTTTTAACATTCAATCGTAGGTCTACCAATGATACCTCTCCCCCGACATGGTTTTCGACTCCGGGATCAGCTCTGAAAAGAATCAATTGACTTTCAAAATATGATTCCCTAACGGAAGAAGTGGAACTCCTAAACTGTACCCACAATATGCTCATGTGCATCTTCCGAATGGAAAAGAGGAAACTGTATCGTTGAGGCTGCTTGCTCCGAAAGCGTCTACACCAGAAAACACTTATGAAACAGAAGATCAGCATGTGCACCTCACGGAAGAACAAACTACACCTTCGGTGGTTCAACTGGAAAATGAAGCTCCAGAACCAGAAATTCAATTTGATGCTACGGACCACATACAACAGCCCATAAGAGACCAGCAGCGTGTCCACCCATACATCCTTCGAAGTAGGGAGGTTTGAAAAACGCATTGGTTCACTGACATTTCACTCAGGGCGGAAGAATGCGGTGGTTTTGTTACACTTTTGATCTTTATACCACGGCATCACCGTCTATTGGTAATGTAGATTTTCTATCTTTCTGTTGTAGCCGATGTACCTACATTGCTTCAAGGTTGAAGTCTCGTTTCCGGTTGTCCGTTTTTTCTCTCATTCGTCGCTCAATCCTTCGAGCTCATCACTCACCAACTTCGACGACCATGACTGCTTGATTATCATAACTCAAATTTCAGTGAACAACCCCTAAACTTCGTCATTCAGCTGGTTTTTGGTTTATTTGTCTTTTGTTATTGAAGATGGAAGGGGTTAAAGAAAGCTAAATGCAGTATTACTATAACGACAGAGAATGAAGGTGTATCAGATTCTCAACCGGTCTTTAGTTCAAGTCCTATGTACAGATCTCANATTTGGATCGGCGGATGCGATTCGCATCCAAGGAGCTCAATACACCCCATCGATCGATAGAACCGGTTACCGTGGTTAGGTGTCGAACATTGACTTTGGAAGTGCATCCGCGTTATTCAGCTTGTGCAAGTGAACCAGCTGCTTGTGACCTATAAGCTTACAACGCAGGGCATTTGTTTACGAACTCTGGTGTTGGTCCGGGCACTCCTATTATAGAAAGACGGTGAGAAGGGCGTCATCAGTAGTGCGTTACGTAAAGGTACTTCCTGCAGCTTGAAAGCAATTTGAATGATCGGCACCGTGGCATGAACGACTAGAGCTGATTAGGTAAGACAGATGGACAAAAGTATTAGATGCAACGAAGCAGCCGCATATGACACTTCAGTTTACCACATTTCCAGACGTTCCTATATCGGGCAAAACTCGACAAAATGAGCACACCATAACGACAGAAAATTAAACTTTAGCATCACTATTTGAACGATAAGATGAACTGCAGTCACAATTCACCGTGGAGTGTAACACAGAGGTGTTTCGAAATTTGCCCAAAATTCGAAGTGTGGTGAGCGTTTCCGAGCCACAATATGCCAGACCTCTTGCAAGCGAATTGGTTGTTATTCACCTCATTTATCACTACGAGCGGAGTGCGCCGAGGATGCTCGGCTTCGTCCTTCTTGCTCACTTTTACAATGGACGAAATTCCGAAAAGGACTCTAGAAAACCGGTGTACTTGTCTTGGAAATGCACATTTGATGTTCGACTCTGGGATATGGAGTATGTCCCAGCTCAGGAGAGGTGGAGAATTAAGGAGCATCCACAAAGGATGGGTTATGGCCCCCAAGCTGTCCCTGGTGAACAGCTCAAAACGTAGATCACCATCAGCAAGAATGATTACGAGAACTTAAGCTTGGATCAACTTGTAGAGCCCACGAATGCGTAAGCACTTTGGTTCGTTTGAACTTCAATAAAAAGTAATCGTAATAAGTAATATCCCACAATTAAGATGGATTCAAATGAATTTGCAGGGTCTGCGCGAGTTTTGTACTCATACGTGAGGAGAAAATACTGAAAACAAGCATTCGTAAACCCAACAACTCACTTTTACGGGTTGTCCTCCAGGACCAGTAACGTAAGTAGCCTCGATACCTTGGTTAGTCTCGACAACTGAAAACTCAACTTCTTCGCCAGTTCTCAGTGACGGAAAACGCTTAGAATAGGCAGATATCACGGAACGATGAACGAAGAGATCACCGCCGTCGTCATTTCGGCTAATAAACCCATAATGACGACTGGCGCTATACCATTTCACATGACCTCTGACTTTTTCAGCTTAAGACAAAAAAAATTTAATGAAATACATGGCGGCATACCTAATACTTTGACCACCTCTACCTCCTTTTTCGGAGGCTTAACGACCTCACTTGGTGTTTCAACCACCGCGGCCATTCTTTAAACCACCTGTGTAGATACATCAACAACACAGAATTATTTACTTTGCCTATTCAACCCGCGTTTGAATCGCGGAATGTAATGGCATTATACAATCTTAACTAGTTTCTATTTCTGTTTCTTTTTTCTCGGCGCTTATTTCAATTTTGGAGAATACAAAATGGCCCACCAGAAACGATAGGGTTCTGTAATGGAACCGAAAGTACGCTGAGCGATACATAACCCCTGAATAGGTGTTCCCTCTCTTCCTCCTTTTCAGGCTTCACTCGGCATCCTAACGACCATAAGCGGTGATCTCCTTATACTTAACAATGAGGAGCCGAGCATAAGAAAATCAAAAGCCCGTAGGGAAATGGACAGGCGTAGAGTCCATGACATACTCTGGTTAGCTGGCGCTCCGCCTAATTTGACAATTAGGAGAGTCCACCGGGTCGGGAGGTGGAAAACGCCACCCATGGAAGCAACACAGGCACCAGCTAGACCCATACTGGTGGAGTTTGCCAGACCGCTAGATAGGGATATGCTACTATCCCGGGCAGACTTAGTTTGGAGTGCCACTAAAGGGCGTTGTAATATAGTCCCTGATGAACCCCGAGTCAGGGAAATAAATAGAAGACCGTCAACGTACATGACGGGAAGAGAACACTTTGGGGCCGAGAAGATGAAACTGCCTAGGGCTTCACGGGTCTTAGCAAACCCGAATGTAGCAGTAATTGAAGACATTCTGGAGCATCTCACGTTAGTAAACGAGACCCAAAGTGAATTAAATAATGCCGCAACCGGCCAGCCAGTATTGTCACCCGGACCAGCATACGTTTCCAATCTCCCCAAGAGTACTGATGCACGCCAATGCATGTAGTATTAGAAATAAGTGGACGGAGCTG